TTAATTACATGAGGTGCACAACTGACGTCCAACAATTCCAGTTCAAACGAAACCAGAACAACCCCCCCCCCCCCAAAAAAAAAAAAAAATAAATAAATAAATAAATAAATAAATAAATAAATAAATAAAACAAAACAAAAAAAAAAAAAAATAAATTTAAAAAAAAAAATAATAATAATAATAATAATAATAATAATAATAATAAATAAATAAATAAATAATAATAAATAAATTAAACCAAAAAAAAATAACTAAACAAAATGTGAAAATTAAAACAAGAAGAGAACACAAAAATCAAATCAACAAACAATGAAATATCACCTCGATCTAGAAGAAGGGGGTGGAGTAAGGATTGTGTAGCACCTTGAAGAAGAAAAAAAACCTTACCTCCGGCTCGCAGCCCAACGAGACGAGGGGGAAAGGTAGAACTCTGTGAGACCCAAGTTCTTATCTTGTTCATTACAAGAAAACAGAAAGAACAGAACAAAGGTAAATATTGCAATTACATGAATCTATTTTTTTCGGACGTATAGATATTAAAATAAAACTCGAACAAGAGGGATTTGATTTATATAGGCCTACTTAAACGGAGTATTAATGCCCTTTTTACTCTTGTCGTGGTCAAGGAATTTACTCAATGAACCCGGTCTGCACGCACAGACGCCGATATGACACTTTACCACACATCCTTAAGCATTGAGCAGAGTCTAGCTTTGCGAGTCTGCATCAAATCAACTAAGTAGAGCCTTTGCAGTGTGACTTTAGTTTAGTCTCACTGTGCAGATACTGCTACGCACATCGACTGGCAAGGCTTTGTGTCTGTAAACTTTCAGGACATCTGCCTAGTGCAGGTAGGACTGCAGCAAAGATAGTACACTTTGTTTGCGAGATCATGTTTGGGGACTTTCCCCATATTTCACAAAGTAGGCCCACGCCGAATACAAGGTCGGTGTTATTTCCTGTTAATTTGAACTATCATGATCTCTCTTTCCTCATCCAGGAGCATTTGTCACCCCAGTCGATCTACGTATCAACAGAGCAAACAAAAATTCCCAGAGAAGTATTGAAAAGGTATACATAACAATGGGGGAGAGAGAGAGAGAGATTGAGAGGAAGAGGGGGATAGCGAGGGAGAGATAAAGGGGATGAGGAGACAGGGAAAAAGAGATAGAGTGTGAGAAATAGAGATGGGGAAGATAGAGAGAGGTTCGGCGAAAGAGAGAGAGAGAGAGAGAGAGAAAGGACATATTGCCTTTGACAAAGTCTACGCAGTCAGAACAAATTTGTATTGGTCGTATGCGTAAATTAAATGTTATAATAATTTAGTATAGAATAATCAATATGCCAGAAACTCTGAGAAGCAATTAACTTGTGCTTTGAAATGAGACTCCTATCAAGGTAAGCACAATATTTAATCAAATAGCAAAATAAATCAAACAAACTAGGTGTATATACGTATATTCAGTTGAGGAAGGAAATAAAGGACCGACTATCTGCTGGTATAACCCATGTGAATGCGTACACCCACATACAAAACACAAGAGCTATATAAAACTAAGGAGAGTTCGGAATAACAAAGAGAAGAACGGGGAGAGATGAGACAGAGAAAGAGAAGAAAAGGATGAGGTGGGAATGAAAAAGATAAGAAAAGGTCTGCCCTGTCAAGGATGACGTCGTTTGAAAACAGTTATCAAACGAGAAGTGGGGAGTTTTAATTAAAGGTTATTACAAATTGAATTCCATTCATAAACTCGTGTAAAAAGGATATAATTCGTTTTTAAAGTAGATATTCATTGATTTTAAAAACTGACTTTATTGTCAGTATTGCAAAGTTGAAACTTTGATTCGACAAGATTATCAAAATTCAATGCTTGGAAACATTCTAAATAATGATTATTATAAATTAAAACACGCTTAAATACGGCCCCGGCATAACACCTGAAGAGCTCTCCGAGCGCTGCTGAGATGCGTGAGATCACAGTATAGACATGACTTGCACAAGCAGACGTTGTCCCATGACATCTCACACATTTTCAGTGCCAGTGTTTTCATCTTCTCTTGTGTTCTTTCTCTTACTTCACTACCGTCAGGCTAAATGTAAAATGTATTGCCTCACTCTAAACCCCGCGCATTGTTTTATTTTTATGACAAATGCAGCGATACAAAAAAAGGAATCTGTCGCTAGTAAACAAAATAAGGCGCCATTGTATATTCAGCTGCACACCGGGGTATGCTCGGCGTTTCAAAAGGGAACAAATGCCGTCCTTACTATCATTCCGGGGCTTTTCAATTTGAAAGTCTGGTTTCTTTGATTGTTAATTAGCCCCTATCCTTTGTATTTACAAGAAAAATATTTTAGTTATCAGAATCGGGTCATACCCCCTTTTGAATGGTTTGACATGCCATTACTTTTTTTATTGACTAAACTCATTATAATTTGAGAAGTAATAGCTTTGCAATTATGTTTATTCTCTATGGGATGTCGTCTGCTTGGGCAGTGTTGGTCCATATAGTGACGTCATTAAAACCTCGTTATTTTTCAGTCGAATCTCTCGTATATCCCAGCTGCTATGAAGGTGGTTGTATTTGTATTTGTATAAATCACCCGATGTGTAGTTGACCTAAAACTTGTCCAATGGCCATCTGTTAGCTTACCAGTTTCTAGTGATACATTAGTTGACATATTCTTTGAATTTCACCTTTGAAGTTGAACGGGTAATAGGAACACAAAGATTATCCCGTGTACGAGTGTGAAACGTATGTAATGAAGAATTAGTTCTTAACATATTATCGACAAATCTTTGAAGAATCCATTTGTGGTCTTTTGAGAGCAGTATGCCCAATGTCGATCAAATAAAGTTGGAACAAAAATATGTAACATCAGAAGAGTGTGTCCTTTGTATACGTAAATTGCTGAACTTTCTTAGCTGTTCTCCTCTATAGAACTTCGTGACAAAAGCCTACCTACCCCCTTTACCATAGCGTTAGGTCCTATGCCATATCACGGATTTTTTTTTTTTTCCGCCGCAAAATTGTTATCGCCAAGAGTGGTGGCGGCCATATATCTCGGTGATTTTGAACACTAAAAAATGAAAACGTGGAAATGAAATTACATTTAAAAGCCAGGGCGCAATATAATCGACTCGGATGTGTTGCAACGCCAGCGAAACGGTTAGGCACGAGTCCACACCCTATTTATGTAAATATTACGTTAAGGAAAACAGGAAATAGAAAGAAAGATCACGCCATAATGGTTAAATTGTAAAAATCATACTTAATGGCTATCCTGGAGACGGAAAACTGCCTTGATTTATTTAAAGAACATAATTTAAAGACCGTCAATACTACTGGGCCAGAAGGGATTAGACCACATAGCGAGGTCACTGACAGATGGCTTTTGCATTAACTCAGTTCTCAACTATCATGAGAAATAGAGAATCCTGGGGGACCAACATGCACCTATTGGGGAAGTTTTGTAGCAAGGGAGCAAGTAGCTACAAGTAATACAGTGGGGCTTTAAATCAAGTTTCTTAGTTGTATAAAGGCTTAGGCGTAGAGGAATTACTGCAAGGACAAAATGTTAAACTACCTGACATGATTAGCATTCAATAATATGGCTTCGTTGGTTTTACGTTAAGAGATTTTGTGTGCTTCGAGTAGTAATTGTTAAATACAAAATGATACGTTGTGCTCTGTACCTATTAAGCCTCGTGCTTTATGGACTATTATCAGTGAGCATCTGAGCCGTTCGTGTGAGTTAAGAATTATTATGTAAAGTGCCTAAAGTCTTCATTTAGTAGCATTACGTGTGTTTTAAAATATTGACCAATGCCAATGATGGAGTGACCTCCCAGTGTCACAAATAAGGTTTCAACTTATGCTCATCCGACCGTAAATAAATGTCGAAAATCCTTAAGCTAAAAAGACAATAATAGAGCAAACGATTATTGTCATAAGCCAACATTTTCTCGTCCGTGAGTAATAGCTGACATAAACATTTCCGTCAATAGAAGGATAACATCCAGCCAAAAGGTCACATTGCACTTTTTTCACAGACCCAGAACGCAATGTCCTTGTACCCACTGGCGTACCAGTGGTAGTAGAGACGAGGGGAGGTTTGAGGATAGTTCCACGCCCAAAAGGGAATGAACAAAAAAGAAGAAAGAGAATAAAAAAGAGAGAGAGCGCGAACCAAAGAAAAGAGAGGAAACATATTGTGTGAAAAAATGGGATTTTCTGTTCACTTCTTTTAACTTTTGCAACTTCTTATTTTCTGGGGGCATCGCCTCCTGAAGCATTGAATAAAGTTCCGCGAGGCCTCATTAATGTTTGTATTACTTTCTATCATGAGGAAAAGGGGACAGGACTGGGGTTACGGCGTCGATAATGTTTGATCAGGGCTTTACTTTTTGTTTTGATTTCCTTTTGATTTCCAATCCATTGCATTTCCGACATACTCACATACTGCTTTCGCGTGACGTTTATGCTTCATTCACAATATAAATAAATATATATGTATATACCTTTTTTCTTTAAAGACATTGGAGTAGAGAGTTAAGCATGAGGTTTAGGTTCCTGAAAGGGTGTAAAACAACTTGCCAGCTTTATCATTGTTATTGTGCTCGAGTGGATAAAAAAAATATATATAAAAAGGCCCCCTCAAAAATATCGTCCTTTAAATACCTGCATAAATATTTAATGTTTACAGGCCCAATTTAATGTCAACAGGGCCCTTTGTCATTAAAATTGTTATAAACGGCAAGTTAATTAACTCTTACAAGCTATTTAAATTGTCGCACTTGATCTAGTGACTGATATATTTATCATTACAAAAAATAGCATTTTTAGTGATGATACATATTTCGAAACAGGGCCGTGGAAGATATTTACGAAGTGTTTACTTTTGTTCGACACGTACGGTAAAATGCCACGTCACTGAAAAACAGCACGATCTGTACAATGCGCTTTAAGAGGAAGCGATTTTCATACATACGTTTAGAATATTGACAGCGATTCATTTATCAAGCAAATCAGGGTGGATCCCTTGCATTCATACCCGTTCCTCCTCCTAGAAGTAGATATAGGTCTTTTGCAAATACTTATTTAATACTTATTTCTGCATCCTTGTCTTTTTTATTCAACGGTAGCTTCAGTCGGTAAGTTAAAAAAAGAAAAATATACTCAGGTTATTGTATTCGGAGAAAAAATGATAGATGAAAATATGTTTGCGCCATGAATATTTTCTTTAAAATAGAAACAAGTCTGAAAAGCTGTTTGTAGACAGAGTATGACAAATAATTTGCATAATTGTCTGCTCTAAAATCCTAGCCGAAAATATGATTTTCTGTTTATCTGTTTGTTTGTGTTTGTTTGTATTTGTTTGTTGGTTGGTTGGTTGGTTAATTTCCCCTATAATTCTTTGCAACCAATAGACCAAACATATGTCCTCGTGAAATATATTTTTTTTATTTCTTAAATGCTTTAAAAGAGCGATTTATGTCAGTGCCATCGTTGTATTCGATTGTATTATGGTGTACTTGTTGGCTATGTTTCAGAGTTGAAATTTATAAAATATATTAATAAGTATATACAGTATGAACTGTCGGCTTACTTTGTTTAAAAGAGTATATTTCGCGAACAATGGAGTTTCCCAAGTTAATAAAATACGTCTTTATATGTATAAACAATATTTTTGCGACAACATCGAACATATTGACTACCTAAACTGTTGGTTTATTCGCTTTGAAATCATTGTAGTTCATATTCCGAGCGTTCGAATTCGTGCAAGCCGCACTCGAAGCGTTAATCCAGCTTTCAAAATAAAAATCCGTTCATTAGTATACAAATAATACACATCAGTGAGGCCATTAGTAAGAATTACCCACACGAGGTACCTTAGGAACGGTCTAACACGCCCGATGCGATAGCCGAGGGCATTTGGACTGTTTTGAAGGTACCAAGTATGGTAAATTTGTACTAATGCCCGAACAAAATGATGTGTATTATTTGTTTTATAAGATTATGTCTCATTTGTTTTATAAAATGATGTTTTCTTACATGATTTTGATAATGACCGGTCATTACCCAAATTACGCGCGATTACGCGTTAGGCAAAATAAATGCCTGGTCACATGTACGCTTTCAACCAATCTTTTGATTAGGATCAACGTCATCATCTTATAATATTAACTATCCGTGCAATCAATTTGGGCGCTAAATCAGGCAGGGGCACAGTCAGCCCGTGCCCACCACCCTTTTGGCGGCTAAAAAATGAAAACAAAAGAAAGAGAATAGGGGGGGAAAATCATGCATATGGCACATATCATGAAAATGTCATTGACGGGATATTGCTAATATATCTGTAAAGCTTTCAAGAAGTAAAGGTGCTTTATCCAAACACAGATATTGGATACCCACCAATGTGTATTGATAAACTCAATATTTTACAAATAAGTGCAATACGACTGATAAAAAGGAGTGACTTTCGTAATTCCAGTCTATCCCAGAGTTTGAACTATTATAACTTAATATATCAGAATTAATGTTTAAAGGTAAAGACCAGTATTGAAAACGCCCCAATTTCAAAAAATGAAATGGAAGCTTTTATTACCAATCATGTAAAAGAATATGTTTTGAATAATACATGATGATACAAATTTTGCCGGGAAACCGCCTACTAATTGATATATTTGGTAAATTAGTTTATCTAATGGTGTGTGAGAGATAAAAACGCATGTGTCGCGCACGTGTGCGTAGTCCCATATACATCTGTATGTGTACAGTGCTTGTAACTTTATGAAGACTGGGACAAATTTCTTATCAGTTTGATGATTCCAGAACCTTGCAGTACATATATGCTAGATGATCAACCTTTTCTTATCGATTTCGCAACCTTTCTTTCACAATGCAATCGTATGACCATTACTGGTTTCAGCTCCACACTTTCTCGTTTTAGAAATCTATTCAAACGTAAACTTTGGGAAACAACGTCATCCTTGACTAAGTAGACCTTTTCTTATCTTTGCCATTCCCACCTTTTCCTTTTCTTCTCTTTCTCTGTCTCACCTCTTCCCTTTCTTCTCTTTATTATTTTGAACTCTCCTTTTTCTTGTATTGCTCTTGTGTGTTTGTGTGTGATTGTTGGTATGTGCATATACATGGGTGATCCCTGCTGATAGTTAATGGTTGGTCCTTTTTGTGCTTTTATTCTTAATGTATGTACGTATATCTAGTCTAAAGTTAGATTTATTTCGCTATCTAATTTAATATTGTAATTAACTTGATAGAGGATTCATGTCCAAGCACAAACTGGCCTATGATTTATTCTTTATTTATGATTTGTAATGTTTGTTTATGATGCAAAATAAAATGAATCACCGTAACATTTAATTTAGAGGAATACGATCAATATTGATTTGTTCTGACAACGTAAACTTTGTCGAAGGCAATATTTCCTCTCTCTCTCTCTCTCTCTCTCTCTCTCTCTCTCCCTCACCCTTTCTCTCTCCCTTCTCTTCCGTCTCTTCCCTTCTTTCTCTCTATCTCACCTCTTCCCTGGTCTTACTTGTTATTTATGCGTTTGTAAATAATAGTTTCCTGGGACTTTTGAAGACTTTGTTGATCCCTGGATCATCTGAGGTGACCTGTGCTCTTAGATCAGGAAAGAAAGATCATGAGAGTTGAACATAACAGGAAATATCACCCACGTAGGCCTATTTTGTGAAAATACGGGGAAAGTCCCCAAACATGATCTTGCCAACAGTCAGACAGTAACCCAGTGACTTTTACAAGCTGATCGCCCGTCTGATTATCAAGATATTTATGATTGGAAATCAAAATGTAAAATTTCGTTTTCCTAACGAATTTTATAAAAAAAACAGTCTATTTGGAAAAATGAGTATGGAAAAACCGGTCACTCAAAGATTTTAACTTTTTGGGGGCACTCCATAATCATTTCGAAGCGCAATTGGTTTAGGGCTTCAACATTATACCATATAACAGACACTATACAACACGTTATAGCCATGCATCTCAGATTGAAAATTATTAAACGATGGCTTTAAGTAACATAATTACTCTTTTAGCACAAAATCCAAATACAAAATATTACTCAAAGCGCTTCGAATAAAAAAAAACATGTACACCAACTTGATGAGGAAAAACAAATTGATATATATCTGCCATCTGGAGAGGTGTGTCTTTAAGATCTCTCGATGTTTCTCTCCCCTTTCTATCTCTGTCTCCACTACAGGTTTGCAACATGGGTTCAAACTTTACCATTACCCTTGTTCTCCTTGCCGCCATCGCATGCCTGTCCGAAGGATGCTGTCCAGAGGGGTTCATACAAGTTGGTAACCGGTGCTACCATTACAACTCTGACAAGGTGGATTGGCACGATGCACATCGTGCATGCGAAGGACTCGGGGCGCATCTAGTCAGCATCCACAACTATGAGGATAGTAGAGAGGTCTATGCCCTTTGGAAGAGTTTAGTCGACGAGAGTTACGTCAATTATTTACACAGGGTAAATAGTAGACCAGTGTTTTTTTTCATAGCTGGATGGGGGAGGGATGATCGGATTGGTAAAATGTAATTTACAAAGAGGGGGTTGGGTGGGGGATATGTACAGCTTAGAGGAGAGTAGAGAGGGCTATGCTTATGTGAGTTAGAAGCAAAAAAAGGGGGAACAAAAGAGAACGTCAGCCACTAGTTAAGCAGGGCTCCCACTTAGCCGAGTAGGAGGCTCTAGTTGTGGTGAGCTGGCACGATCCTATGGCAACCCGTTTTATCATTAAAACATATTTCTTGATATCAAGAAATCAATTCTTGATATCAACAAATAATTATTGTACGTTGTAAAGCAATGGTAATTCTTGATGTTGATTTCGTGATATCAAGAAATATGTTTTAATGATAAAACTGCTTGCCATAAGATCGCGCCAGCTCGCCCCAACTCGAGGCTCCTACTCGGCTACGTGGGAGCCCTGCTTTACAGGATACATTCAATGTAGTATAGCTGCGTTTGACTTTATTTTAATTTTTCATTGTAAAATTTTGTTTTGGATATTTTATTTTTATGTTGTTATTCTGGTTACAATCAAATCGAAGCAAATCGCCGAAAACGTTTGAAAAGGTGGAAAACGCCGGAGCGGGTAATTCTAAACTATGAATGTTGAAGCTGCTTATACAAATTAGTCATAACGAGTTTTGACAAGATATTTACATCCACTTTTAATAAATCTGTCAATTAAGTATGAATTCAAATTTAGTTCCCCGCTTTATACCACACATATTTGTTACAATATGGGATGATATTGTATTCGCCCGATACTTTACCTCTTCTTCTTCCTTATATTAAAGAACTATGAAGCGGAGGGCCAAAGTCAGAAAACAGGGGTTTGCCTGCAATTATCACACAAACTATTAAGGCACACCTTGTTTATCCGAAAGATTTTACCATAATACACAATATTTCACAGGTGTTTATTGTTTTGTTTCGGACAACGACCCTAAATTGGAGGAGGCGTCCATAAAAGTTGCCCTTTTGACGAAAAAAAGTATTTCTTAAATAATATTTCACGAAAACCTTGGACCATTATGAGTTTGGTGTCATATAAAATAAAATTAGATTATATAAATTGAAATACCAATTTCAACGGAATTTAAATTAATTAACACCGCACATTTTAGTAAAAAACAAGATTTTACTCAGATGGAGCGGGATGTCAAAGAATTGTTTATAGTGTGTGTTGGGGGGGGGGGGTCATCTGCCAAGGCCCACATTTCTGAAAAATCACAGAGTATAGAGGTACTTTTCAATTGCACTCAGCAATACTAAGCCGTTGAACTGTCTGGACTGTCTGCATTACTATATTCATGTTGATGCCTGAACTTGTATTGCTAATTGGCAAGATAATGACATACGGCTGGCAGGGGCGGATTGGGTTTGGAGGGGGGGGGGGGGGGGTGACACTCACAAATGTAATAACGCCCACAAATGTAATAACACTTTACCCACAAAGGTAATAACACCCACAAATGTAATAACCAGTTTACCCACAAATGTAATCATTTTAAATCACCCACAAATGTAATAACCAGTTTACCCACAAATGTGATCATTTTGAATCACCCACAAATTTAATAATGACTTTACCCACGAATGTAATAAATTTGAAGTGATATTTTGTCGAATTTGTTCAAAACTAAAACCCTGTATAAAAGCATGGGTATAGCGCGCAGTCTTTATTCCACACCCGGTCATTTCAAAAATTTAAAAAATCTTCAAAACTAAGACCCCATAATCCTTTTCCTGTGGAATAAAATGAATATTGAGCGTAGTCTTTCCTCCAGACCCGGTTATTCAAAAGTTAAAAAAAAAAAAAAAACTTTTAAACTAAGACCCCTCCATCTTCCAAATTAAGACCCGGTAATAAAGCATGGGATTAGAGCGTAGTCTTTACTTCAGACTCGGTTATTTAAACAAAATGAAAAATCTTCAAACTAAGACCTCAACATCTCATTCCTGTAGAATATTATGGGTATAGAGCGTAGTCTTTCCTCCAGACCCGGTTATTTCAAAAGAAATAGAAATTTAAACAAATCTTCGAAACTACGACCCACCATCATTCTTATTCCTCTTTTGTTTTCATTTAAAAATAGATTACATTATTACATATGTGGATACAACACGTCACAAATAAATGATTGGTCGGCGGTCACAAATGTTATTACATTTGTGGGCGTTATTACATTTGTGGGCGTTATTACATCTGTGGGTGTCACAGGGGCGACTGCCTATGTCCATATTATCTGAAACATCAAAGAGTACCGAAGAAGTAGGTTAAATTGCACTCAGCACTCCAAATCTTTTGAACTTTCTGCACTACTAAATGTTCAACCACTATTGTCCAGTTAACAAACCGATATACTGGCCAAAAATAGAGGGGAAAATATATTTAAAAAAAAACTAATTTTTTGATCAAAATTTATATTTCACACACTACATAACTCAATGAAATTGATATCAACTTAAAGGTATTTCAATTATCAATTTTTGGACACCAAATTCAGGGTGATTAGAAGTTTTACTTCAGTTATAAACTCGATGTAAACACACCAAACACGTCCTCAATACACTAATACACATATATATGCATACAGTTTATACACATATGGGCCAAAATGTAGTTTTTGTAGAAATCAAATCAATAATTTTGGGTTGCTATAACTTTTCACTGAAAAGGGATACAAGCCTCTTCTTTAAACAGAATATTGTTTCCTTGAACATGGTCGAATTCTTTGAGAGTTACGCAAACAGGCACCCTCTTCGAATTTTATATATGGAAAATTACAGTTTTTGATAAACATGTTTTTAATTAAAATTGCGATGGTAATTAATCTCGATCCCATTAAAATTGGCATAGAAATGTAGATAATTTCATTTTCTCTCATATATCATCAAACTCATGTTGGTTTATGATTGCCTTAAAATAAGAAAGTGTAGAGAACTTAGCGTGATAAATTATTATAAGAACCGGTTAGATTTCTCTACAACTGATTAAATAATGCCGACTTTGCCCATAATTTAAAAAAACCGTTATGGGTTTAGAGATGATAAATTATTGGCGTATAGTATTTTAACTGTTTCAATATTACGTTTATAACTGCATATTCAGATGGACCTCCCCAAACAAAAATGGTTTCATTAAAGGCACTCATTAACTCAACCAGGATGTAGGGTATAGAATAGCTAATAATAAGGGTGGACTTGCTCATCATTTTCGAAAGTGAGGATTGACTTTAACTGATGTTCAAAGCTGATGTATACACAATTGGAAGAAATGTTCTAATAGCATTTTCATTGTGTTTGCTTACATTCATTTTTCTCCATTGCAATCCGACTGTAATGTATTATTTATTATTGTTTTCTGTGATTTTCTTCGATAAAAACTTAAATAATAACACTTTTAAAATGTCTTCCTTATTTGCATGTAATCATTATCGTTTCCCCTTTCACGCAGACCTATTGGATTGGACTACATGACGTGCAAAACGAAAACAACTTTGAGTGGAGTGATGGGACCCCTATGGACTACTCTCTATGGCATCCCAGCCAACCTAACAACTACGGGGGAGAAGATTGTGTGGCTCCATTTAACTATGGTAGCAACGACTTTGACAAGCAGAGGTGGCATGACCACGGCTGTAGAAACAGGAAACCCTACTTCTGCCGTAGATCTGCCACCTCATAAATCACCACCAAAAGTTCCCCTATAGAAAGAGCTCGGTTCCTGCCATCCAATAAACCAAGTTCTAAGAAAAACACGATTTTAAAATTTATTATAGGTAGCAAGGTCAGTTTGGAATGAATCATACTAGTGTATGATTAAAGTATAAAACCACTCTTTAAAAAAAAAATCTAAGTCCGCACAAATGTTTTTCAATAATTTAAGTTGTTTTAATTATTGTGGATGTGTACTTTCTGGAACATAAATTGGAAATAGTACTTTTTGGAACCGAAAATCTTGCATATTTTTTTGCAAGTTACAATGCATAATTTGAATTCATATACATGTAGTATCTTTTAGAACCGAAATGCCTTTTAAATAGCTTTTTTTACATCCTTTTTCGATAATCAGCATTTTGGAAGTGTCAGTGCATGAGGCTACTGGAAATGTCTACATGTACCTTCTGGAACATAAATTGGAAATAGTACTTTTCGGAACCGAAATCTTGCATATTGTGTGCAAGTTACAATGCATAACTTAAAAGGATATACACGTAGTACCTTTTGTAACCGAACTGATTTGAATATGGCATTTTTACATCTTTTTTTGGAAATTCAGCTTTTTGGAAGTGTCAGTGAATGAGGCTACTGGAAATGTGTACATTAATGCAAACAAAAATAGTGTTGATACAAATGAATGAAGTACTTTTGGAAACGTGCTCTTCGTATATCAAATCGGGCACCCCATATTATTACTCATACAAATCATGTTCTGATTATGTCTATATAATTTCCGATCACTAACAGGGAATGGACAGTCTAGGGCCATTGAAAATGCCTTCGTTAATTTGTCGAAAATAGTTCTGATCGTATTAACAATTGATTTAATTTGAAATTATTGAATGAAAGGAAGGTAATCATCATGCCCCCAATCTTGACAACAAAATAATATTCATATTGAGTATTAAGGAGCGAAAAAAACCTTACCATACAAGAACCATAGCGCTTAATTACAAAATTACAGAATATAAAGAGAAACGCTCTTAAAATAGCTGATTCAGAATTATGTTACTGACCGAATAAATATGCTTTAACGGATCTTTTGAGAGGGGCAAGAAATGTTAGTTCTCTGATAGAAAATGGGATCTTGTTCCACGTTATCGAGGCAGCCACTGTCAAAAGTTTCAATTGCAACGATAACAATGAAAACAAAACAAAGCTAGCGAAAATATGAATATGACATAAATGAAGTACCTCCGCTTCTAAACTCAGTTCACGCGCATACGCAAAGGGGGGGGGGTGAACCCACCCTCTTTCATTTTTGTATGTGTGTGATTTTTGAAGATTTTTTTGTACCAAAGGGTGACCCCCCAAAACTGACCTGACCCCCCCCCCCCCCCCCCCCCGAGTCGTTGCAAAAATGTTGGGACTAAAAACAACAACAAATGTGCTCTTACGCCCCCCCCCCCCTCCCCTTATTTAGCGGCTGGCTGAGTCGTTGCACAAATTTTGAGGGCCAAAACAAATAATTATGTACAACAGAATTGGGCACAAACACACACGGGCAGGAGAAGCGGGTGCACAGGATAGTTGAGTTTTGCTGCAGAGGGCGCTACACACAATATTTTGTGTGAGATAATGAAAAAATGAGTTTCAAATTTGAAAGAACATACAATTTAAATGACAAATCATCTTTGTTTGATTAACATCGGTTAAGAGACGGCTGAGAAATAACCATGCACTTTGAAGGCATTTGTGGTCTGAAACAAGAATTTAACTATCCCAGAATGTCGTTTATATATCAATAGTAGTATAGGTAGTGTTGCACCAATGTGTTATCATTACGGTAGCCTCAAATGATAAACCAGGAGAACGGAAAGAAATAATTGTGTCGTTAGAAATGACCTCAACAATAAAGAAACATATTAATTTAAGTTGTCGCAATCTTGATTTATTTCTATAGGCCTATATGTACCTGTATGTTTATAGATCGCGAGTGCTCCCTCGTCCTGAAGATGTCCATTTTATGCGCGATAGAGAGAAGGAGAAGGAGGGTAAAAAAGAGAATAGGCGGAAAGAGAGAGAAAGAGAGAGAGAGAGAGAGATGGATGGAAAGCAAGAAAGAGAAGAAGAAAGAAGGAAAGAGAGTGCGAGAGAGAAAGGAAGAAAGAAGGAGAGAGGGGGCGAGAGAGAAGGAAAAAAGTGAGAGGGAAGGAAATGATAGAGAGAGAGAGAGAGAGAAAGAAAGAGAAAGAGAGAGGGGGTAGAGAGACTGGACGTCTGAGGGCAGAGAAAACGGAGAGAGAAAAGATAGACAGAGATGAATAACATAAGAGAAAAAGAGGTACATCATTGAATATCGGTTTTGGGATAAGGATGGGGGAGAGAAAGAAAGAGAATGAGAGCGAATGAGATGTAGTTGGAAAACCAGGGGGACGGAGAGAGAAATAAAAAGCGCGAGATGGGCCCAAGCGAGGGGGGGGGGGGAGGGTGCACCCGAAGAAAGAAGATTGATCTTGCAGATAACTAATCATGCGTAGTGGTACGAGATCAGACGAAAATATAACGAGGATGGAGCAAGAAAAACTAAATATTTTATTATAAATCGAGAGAGAAATGGTTTATTAGGGGCACTGTCCAAGTCAGTATGTATACACCGTATATTTACCTAGACACGTACATTTTTTGGAAGCTTGAATTTTCTAGTGACATTTCAGGAATTTCTGCTACTCGATATGCTGACAGAGGTGATGGTGATGGTGATGGTAAAAATTGGCTTTTTTGTTTTTATTATGACTTTTTTTGTTAAATGCAATACAAACACAAAAATTATATCGGCACATATTATCAACAGTTTAATACATATTATATACGACACAATCAAGAGCGTTAACCGCGCCTTTCTGAATGACGGATTCATACACAATCAAAAATATTTGTGTAAACAAAAAGCAATGATTCGACTATACAGACAGGCAAAAACAGATTAAAGATTTTTTTGAAGGCTATTTATAGGTTTCAAAGCAAATTCTATTCAAATTAAACATAAATAAATGAATTTACATAAAATCAATCCAGTAAGTCTTCAATGAATAATTATAATGATTGGCCTGCATTGTATGAGATTAGTTTATAAACTGGCCGGTTCTTATAATTTCCATTACAATAATTGTTGGCAGTGGTGGTTATTTTACCCGACTGCTAAAAAAGCACAAATGCTTGTAAGTAAGCAACCAGACGGTCGACGGCTTTATGTCCTCTCCGAGGGACCTGGTAATGGGGACTAATGTCTTACCAAAGGGCACTAGCGCATCGCCTTGGTTTCGAACCCGGGTCACCAGATTACGAGACCACTGCTCTACCGACATAGCTATCGCGCCTCCTCATTATGCTTCAATCCGCCAAAGATGGCGTTATCAACGAACTCGGTCATACGAATTCAGGTATCACGTCATCTTCGACTTGCACCAATTAAATAGGGGGAGGTCGCCATGTTGGTTTATAAAAGAAAAATGAATCAGCCAGATTCAGGACTAACATAAGAGTAGTGGAAGAATGATGTTAAGGAATATACAGAGAGGAGAATTCAAGATTTATGTACACAAAAAGAACGCAATGGGAATCGGTAATCGGTAATTTTAATCCATTAAGTCTTTAAAGGTATTACAAAGTTTTGGTATGGGGTCATAAATTTGGTTCAAATTAACCTATTGGAAGCGTATGCGTTCTTACATTATTCACTGATCGTTGTCGCGGTTGAAATCGAGTCTAAAATTATGAAATTATGAATAATAAACTTCTTATGTCGTATAGCTCCCTCTCAAGGTCAAGATATTAATTAAGCTATAAAACAATGTTTTTTTTAACTAAAATCGACCGATTAGCTATTCCCATTTGGAAGTTATATATCACAACTACATATTCTGATATTTTCATGGTCGCAGCTACCATTGTACGGCCATAGGCGCTATTTTAAATTCATCAAAATTTACCGGGAGCACCGGTAAATGTTTATATTCAATTTTTCTCGAAAACAGAAGTGTTTCAGGGGGTAATCTTTTTAGTGCTTATAATACATATACAGGGGCATCCAAATATATCAAAATTGTAAAGATTCACTATCCACCCAATTTTCAAAATCTCCCAAATTTTGTATTACCTTTAATGATTCATAATACCAAAGCGAAAATGTCCTTGTGACATGGTGTAGAATAATTTTATTTTTTGCATGCAACCTTAATTTTTCAAAATCTATAGGCCTTAATAAAGAAGGTTCTTTCTCTTATTACAGCCCCACTGCACTACTTGTAACTACTTGCTCACTCTATATAGAAAACAATGCCTAAGTGGTGCCCGTTGGTCCCCCATGATCCTCTTTTTCTTATATTAATTGAGAGCTGTCTTAATGAGATGACCACCAGTCAGTGACCCCACTAGGTGGTCTAATCCCTCCTGGCCCTATATTAAATTATGCTAAACATTAGAGAAAAAAGGATATTAGATTTGACACGAGGGTTGTTCGTAATGACGTCGTAGTCCATTGACCAAATTGTTAAATAAAGTATACATGCCTTTTGGATTATTGGCCCGATTTACTTTGAGCTTCCACCATTTCTTTTTAATTTATTGTCCTTCTTTCATGCAAATGAACTTATTATTGTTGTCCTTTAATTAGAGTTTATACAGGTTAATAATAAACATCTACTATTATTTCGAAGGTATGAATGCGAATCAATGAAGGTTATTGTACGCATAATCAAGCTCTTGTTCTCATCAACCAAGCTGTTATTTATGATTGATACTGTTATCAACTATTTATTTCGCAATGAATGTGACCTGTTTACACGATAGATATTCAGATTAGAATCCGTATATAATTCGAAAACGAGAAATCATCAAGTTATTTATCAGTCACACCAGCAAAATATATTATGTTATCAATTATCTACCCAAGTCTTGAGCATTCATTGTTATCTGATTAAAACAGTTACAGAACTCCTTCATTCATTATTTACTGGGGTATTAGGTCAAAGTAATGTTTTTGAAACAATTGGATAGATTCAAAATTAACAAAAAAATTGGCATTTCAAAGATGATTGATTTGATTTCCATAAAAAAAAAAAAACACTACATTTTGTTTGCCTACACGACGTGTTCTAACTGTATGCATATAAATTATGTGTATTAGTGTAATTGAGGACGTGTTCGGTGTGCTTAAATCGGGTTTTATACAAGTAAAACCCTCAAATGACCATAATGTTTGGTGCCATATAATGAATAATCATATAAATACCCTAAAGTTCACATAAAGTTCTAGGATTCTAGGAATGGTGAGAAGAAAGGGGTCCATAAAAGACAGAAACTAAGGGCGAGATGGGTAGTGAAAACTTTAATAAGGCAACCCAAAATGCACACTGGACCCTATTTCATAAAACTGAAAGCAATGGCAAGTTTCAATAACTGTTATTTGGAATCGTGGCATTTGATTTGCTAAGAAAAAAATGCAATAAAAAAAACTTCTCCCCTTCCCCTTCCTCTCCCCCCCCCGGTTCTCTCTCTCCCTCTCTCTTTCTCTTTCTCTCTCTTTCGCACAGACCATGAGCATCCTAAGGAGGAGCAACTTTCCTATAAACATACACGTTTAAAGGCTAAAGAAACAAGTCAAGATTAGGAAGACTTCATTATATTCCTAGGTGTCCTTTATTGATAAGTTCACTTCTAACAACATACTTTGTTCATTCTGTGCTTCTGCGTTATCATTTTGGAACTGCATTAATTAAAATATAGCTAGCGCAAACACTACTTGATACATAGACCAGATTGTGTTCGTTTGAAACATTTTACCTCTGAGTGCGTTCGCGCGCTCTCTCACAACGGAATTCACTATTCCTCGCAAGTTCTAAGAGTCTGTATTCGTGCGTAATTCTGTAGTATTATAGAAAGCGTGTGGGCAGGCGCGTATGTCGCCAAGACGTACGACTAGAGAACAGGTCGGACAGTTTACTACTTTAATAGCCTAAAGAGACTGTTAGCCGATGACCGATGGGGATGTTGGTATTGTCTAGCTTTCGCATAAAACAGCAGGTTCCAATGATGAACTTTCTTATTACAATAAAATGTTGTACTATTTTCTTTACAATTAGTGTATTACCAGCAAGATGAATATCACATTTATCAGAATTTAATGGAAATTGGCATATACTTGACTTTTTTTTGTTAGTAGGGACAGTTGTTATTCAATTGGAATCAATGTTTTTTTTTCTTTGTCTTCTCTTCTGAATATTTCTATGTTCTGTTTGTGTTGTTCTTATTATTATTGTTGCATTTAGTTGTTGTGTTATGTTAATATTGCGATGCAGTTGATTTGACACATGGGGAATATTTGCCAGTGTTTTAGGAGGTGAAAGGTTTGTAGCAGAAGAAGGACTTATTTTCGTCGCAGTCGTAGTCGTTCCACTTTTGTCTGTCATAGTCACTGCTACCATAATTACGGGGAGACACACAATCCTCTCCCCTGTCGTTGTTTGGTTCGCCGGACTGCCAGTGGTAGTAGTCGACGCTGGTCCCATCACTCCACTTAAATGAGCCTTCGTATTCCCTGTCATTTAGGCCAATCCAATAGGCCTGTACGAGGGAAGCAACGGAATGAGTATCTTAAACAAAATTATTAGTATTAAAGTTTGTATTAAATGAACATCATCTGAACGTCGGTTCAAGTCTGTTCTCCACTTTAAAAAGTGAAAAGCAAGTGTACCCGCCTTATTCTCCTCATTTCTATATCTTAAAATGTTTGTTGGACTTAATAAATGCCTTAAAACCATCTATGATTGGGGGGGGTGCACCACTCGATCACCCCTCCCCCTATAAAACACCCTCTCTCCATCAATTGCGTATTACTGTCGTCGATGATACTCTTCAAAAGATTATAGACCCATCTACTTTCTTCCGAGCTGTACTGTATACTCACCCCCTTCTTATCTATCAAATTTTCCCGATCACATCACCACTCCCCTATAACGCTACGAAAAATGTGCTTGTTTGCTCGTCCTCTCTCCATAATTTGCGTAACTTTCTCATAGATTATAGACCCATCTACTTTCCTTCGAGCTGTACATATTCCCAACCCCTATTTATTTTCTAAAAATTCTAAATCACATCACCACTCTCCCATACAGCTATAATAAAAAAAAAAAAAAGGACAATCATCTACTCACCCGGTTTCCGTCATCTGCGTAACTCACATCGGTGAAACTCTTCCAAAGGTTATAGACGTCTTCACTCTCCGCAGAGCTGTGGAGGCTCACTAGATGCGCCCCCAGATCTTCGCACTCACGATTCGCATCGGACCATGTTTTCTTGTAGGAGCTGAAGTGGTAGCAGCGGTCGCCGACCTGCATGAACTTCTCTGGACAGCAGCCTTTGGCGAGGCATGCGATTGAGGCAAGGAGCAACAGGCTGATGGTGAAGTTTGAAGCCATGTTGCAAACCTGTAGTGTAGACAGAAAGAGAGAGAGAGAGAGAGGGGGGGGGGGGTGAGAGAGAGAGAGAGAAAAAAAGGTAGATAGTGAGAGTTTAAAGCCACACCTCTTTAAATGACTGAATGTGTATTTATATTTTTTTTCCTTTAATATCGTGCTAATTTCGTTTTTTGAAGTTAACATTATTTGTGTATGTAAAGCGCGTTGAGCAATATTGTTTATTGGATGTTAACTTAAAGCTAATACAAAGTCTTGGTATTGGGTGATTAATTTGGTTCGAATGAACATATGTTGGAAGGAAATGCGATTTCACAACATTTAATGGTCGTTGTCGCGGTTTAAATCGAGTCTAAAGTGATGAGATTTGAAATAATACAATCTGTATGTTGTATAGCTCTCTCTCAACTCTCAAGATTGATATTAAGACTTTAACACAATCGACCGATTCGCTATTCTCGTTTAGAAATTACATATCAGAAATACATATTGTGAGATTTCATGGTCGCAGCTACCATGGAATGGCTTTAGGCGCTATTTAAAATTTACCGGGAGCACCGGTTGATTTTTTAAATCATTCAATTTCTCGAAGGCAGAAGTGTTTTAGGCTAAATTTTCTATTGCTTAAAATAGAACTACAGGGGCATCCAAATATATCAAAATTGCTACCGTTTTCGAATAGGAGCGATTCTCAGCGATAAAGATTGACATTTCCAGAGCAGTTTTCAATTTTGAAAGAGGAATATTTAATAAATTGTAATGAAAGCTAACATATTAATGATAAATATATACAAGTACTTGTATAACAGCTGGGTGTATTATCAATTATTCATACAGTCCATGAGATATTCGACATCTTTCTAATGAATGACTTTAACAACGACCTACGTGATTCTATAGCTAAGGTATAATTATATTAGTTGTTATGATTTTAATATATGACAGGTTTGAAGAATTGTTGATAGGAAACCAAACTGCTGTGGAAATACTTGTCTAAATATATTATGTCATTGATACGTAGACTTTTCTAATTAAAATATCAATGTTGCTTCACAATTTAAAACTGAAATACACTGGAACTGTTTTTCCTTAAAGCTTGCAAAGTACCCTAGATTTTAAAAGACGGACCACACCCCCTTCCCCTTCTCTCTCTCTGTCTCTCTGTCTCTCTCTCTCTCTCACTCTCTCATTTCAAAAGTGTAGGAATTTTGTTCTACTTACACCAAAATCCTTTGAAGAGCGGTTGAAAATATCAGCTTGTCTAGAATGAACCTTGGAATGAGTATGACATGTAAACGAGTTTAACGAATTTATCTTGATGGATTCATGTGAAATTGTGTCGTTTTTCCAGCTGTATCAACATCAGGCCAATATTAATACCACATTTTATCTAAGCTCTAATCAACAATCATACAGATGAACCGTGGTTTGAGTTTAAATTGTGATACTGACCTGAACAATAATTAACTAAGTGAGTAAATACACGATAAAGAAAGCCTTCAATCCCCAGCGCGCAATGTCAGATAAATTATTATAAAGGTTTATTAAGTTGTTGCCTGATTGGAAGACATCAATCCGGTTGCCCTCGTTGTTCCTAAAGGGGTAGTCCTACCTGATATTAAATTAGTTTTATCAGAAGCAGAATTTATGTTTGAGAAACAGGTCAGTGAAGTTTGAGGAACAGCCCCCCCAAAAAAAAATTAAAAAAAATAAAAAAATAATAATAATAATAATAAAAATACAAATAAAAAAATAATACAAAAAAAAATAATATATATATATATATATATATAATGCATTTTTGAAGGTGCAATTGAATACTAATTGGCAACTCTGTAACGTTTATTGCGAGCTTCACTCTTAAGAGATCACATTTGCCCTTAAGAAATTATTCGATCATACAACCCTGTAAGAAATAAACTATTTCGTCATCAATAACTAAGGAAATGGAACTATATTAAATTACCTGTACATAGCAAATTAAAGAGTAACTCGCAACATAAGTCACAGTGATGCCAATTTGTGATCAAATAATGACAACAATGACAAAGGAAAAATCATAGTTACCTATTTGTAATGGGATATTGCTCAAAATGTTACTATTATGTTTCTCCCATTTACTGCTTTAATGAAAACGAGCTTAATATTAAGGTGAAACAAGTCATTCGAGGACTCTAGTTTAAGTTCTATAAAGGTCACATTATTTCGGTCAAAGGGTAGTTAAATCTTGGAGTGACCTTCCTGCTAGGGGACTCTAGTTTAAGTTCTTCAAGAGGAGATGTCGCACTAGCAAAAGGTTACAGTCTTTCGGTCTAAATGTAGTAATAATAATAATGATAATATTTAATTTTTATATAGCGCCTAATACAAATGTCTCTAAGCGCTTTAGTAAATTCTTGGAATGACCTTTCGGCTTGAGAAATCTAATTTAAGTATTATTAAAGGTTATATGTCCCATTTGCAGGTCCAAAAAAATGAAAAGGTCAAATTCCAACGGCATTTGAAAGACAAAGCTTTATTTTAGAACTTTCCTTAAAACGAAAGGGTTTGAAAACGGCTCTTTTGTGGAAAATAACGACCAGTGTCGAATCGACAAAAGTAATTGCAATCGCCTAAGTACGTGATTGAGGTTAACTCTTTAAAAAAAGAAGCCCACCAGGAGACTTTTCTGAATGGGGAAAATATATTGCTTGCTTTTTTTTCTTCCTACATACTCCTTCACACAAGATTGATTCAGTGGTACATGAGCATGCTGTAAACCATATCGATTTCGGACGCTCAAAATTAGAAAGATTGTGACTCAAATCCTCTTGCTGAAAATCACATAGACTTCCACCAAAATTCTTTGACGAGCGGTTGAAAATATCAGCTTGTGTAGAATGAATCTGGGAATGAGTATGACACGTGACCGAGTTTAAAGAAATAATCTTGATGGATTCATGTGAAATTGAGTAGTTCTTCCAGGTGTATCGACATCAAGCCAATATTAATATCACATTTGATCTAAGCTCTAATCAATGATCATACAGATAAACCGTGGTTTGAGTTTAAATTGTGATACTGACCTGAACAATATTTAATTAGGTGATTAAATACAAGATAGAAAAGCCTTGAATCCGTAGAGTATAAATGTTGACTAACGAATATGATTCAGCTTTCTATATTTCAGACTGACCTCATCCGTTTGAATAATATGTGTTAAGCCATGAATAAAAACATGCAAAAATGGTAACGGAACCTAATCTGAAGTCCATTAACCTGTATACGTATTTTCAACGAATGGTTATAAAGTTCAATAATACTGAGTAAGTGAAACAAATAAGTTTATTAAAAAAAATGCACGAATATAATGAAAGTCATTCCGGCTATTATTCCCTTTCCGGGAATCACCAGACCAAAACACCCATAAAAAATGGATTTTATTATGATCAACTAAAATTGGAAAAACTTAATTAGTAATGAAAGAAGCTTTTCAAGTGCTGATGTAGGATCAGACCATCAGTTAAATATAACCAACCTACGTCTCAAGCTCAAAGCAAAACCTAGACCGCAGTGCCCGAAGTCGTATGATGTCTTTTAGACTCAAAGACCCCAAAACCATAATTATGAAATTGAAATAGGAGGAAAGTTTGGCCCTCTGCTGGGGGAAGATGACACAGATGTGGAAAACCTAAGGAAAGAAGTAAAAACAGCCTTTAATGAAACCTCACAGAAAGTATTGGGATTTAGAAAATCCAAACAAAAAGAACCCTGGATAAGTAAGGAAGTCCTCCGAGTGAGCGACGAGAGAAAGGAAGCGAAACAAGACAAACACAGAGACCCAAACATAAGATCGAGATACAACTTCCTTAAAAAAAAATATGAAGGAAAACAAAAGGCTGCAAAGACAAATGGATACAAGACCTATGCAAAAAAGTGGAAACCTCACGTCAGGCTACCAAATCCAATGCAGTCTACACAACAATTAAATAAATCACTAAGAAATCTGACATCAGAATGCAGGCAGTGAAAAGCAAAGATGGAGAAATCCTTATCGAGATGAAAGATGTTAAAGAGAGATGGAAAGAAAGCTTTGAGGAACTGTACAATCACCAGAACCAAACAAATGGAGAAACTACTAACATACCTCAGATGGCCAGCCTCGATCCGGTTCCAGATATTCTGCGAGATGAAGTAGAATTTGCTGTACGAAAACTCGCAGAAGAGAAAGCACCTGGATTTGACAGCATCACTAGAGAGGAACTCAAAGCTGCTGGGTCAACAGGAATCACCATACTCCACAAATTGTGCAACAAAATATGGCGGGAAGAAACTTTTCCGGCTGACTTGGGAAAAGCCATAATAACACCAATCTACAAGAAAAAAAAGACAAACTCAACTGTGGAAATTACAGGGGTATTATTAGCCTGCTAAGCCATGCAGGGAAAGTCATCATAATAAAGGATCATGAAGAAAACAGAAGAAGTGCTGTCCGAAGCACAAGCTGGGTTCCGACCAGGACGTTCCACTATTGATCTATTGTTCACCCTCAGACAAATAATGGAAAAGCGCCTTGAAAGAAATCAAAGTCTCCTTAGCTGCTTCATCGATTATGAAAAGGCATTTGACTCAGTCTGGAAGGAAGGGCTGTGGAAATCAATGAACTTCTTTGGATATGCATCAAAATACATACACCTACTTTAAGCACTCTACCAACAATCAGACAAAGCAGTCAGAGTGAATGGTGAACTGACCGACTGGTTTAAAACCACGGTTGGGGTACGCCAAGGATGTGCCCTGTCCCCACAACTTTTTAACATCTTACTCGAAGCTGTGATGCTTTACGCAATACATGACACCAAGATCGGCGTAAGAGTACAGGGAAAGCTGATCAACAACATAAGATTTGCTGATGACATTGTCCTTATAGCTGGCAATGACAGAGACCTCCAAACAATAGTTGACCTAGTACATCATATCAGCTCAAACTTTGGACTTAAAGTAAACATTACCAAAACAGAAGTACAAGCCATAAGCAAACGGCCTCAACTATCGAATATAAACGTTGGAGGAGAACAGCTAAAACAAGTAGATAAGTTCACGTACCTGGGAGGAACAATAAGCCAGACAGGATCCTGCTCGGAAGAGGTAAAGCACCGCATTGGGAAGGCAATAGGAGCATTCCAAGCACTCAAGAAAATCTGGGTATCAAAAGATATACACTGCTCAACAAAGGTAGAGCTGTACAAAGTACTGGTGTTGTCTAATCTGTTATATGGTGCAGAAATATGGACATTAAAGAAGGTCGATGCAAATAGACTTCACACTTTTGAGATGGCATGCCTCAGGAGAATCATGGGTGTGACCAGATTTGACAGGCTAAGGAAAACACACATACGAACACAACTGAATATGGAAGAAACCATCATCGACAGGGTTGCCACAAAAAAACTGAGATACTTTGGACATATCAACAGAATGAATTCAAAAAGATACCCCCACATCCTTCTCAACGGAAATGTACATGGCAAACGCCCAAGGAGAAGACCAGCTAAGAGATGGACAGACTGCATCAAGGCGGACTGCAACAACAGACAAGTTGACTCCCTGACTAAAGCCACTAGGCTAACAGAAGACAGGAAGGTGTGGCAAGCCATAGTGAAACAGAAGCCATCATACATCCCAGTGATGGTGTGGACGGCTTAAGTCAAGTCTTGAGTCAGGTAAGTCATTCCGGCTCCCCTACTCACTAATAAGACGATATCAACTATTTTCTAAAAAATAGCTCCTGGGAAATGTCAATGTTCTCTATTATGACAAATGGAATGGTAATGTTAAGATTACGTTTTACGTCAATGTCATGCTCACAAATCTCAAAAGGTGACGCACGATGATTTTGAAATTGCATAAGGTTGATTTTATTTTTAAAAAGCCGCTTTGTTGTTAGATTTACACAATTTCTCTTTGACCAATCCTCAATGTATAGTGTTAGTACTCTGCAACCATCCGTGTAATGTATATGATGAAAATACGTTCGGACGAAGGCAAACCAATGACGAAGCACCACCACAACGCGTCGCTATTCGCACCGATCTTCCACCCTTTATCAAACGAGAGAAAGAGCTTGCAGCCACGGTATATGGCACTGGTTTTGTTAACATATACCAAATGTGTCCACAACAGGGTCAAAAATGAAATTATGTTTACTTACTTCAAACGTGTATCTTTAGGATCAGGACTATTCATATTTATGAGAAATGCGCATTTTGGAGCTTAATCTATCACCTTATTTATTCAC